ACTTTCAGTGTCCCTGTCTTTCTTTCCCACTGCATTTTTGGATGTTTGCCTTTGTTGCCACCTGCTGTCTCACTGTCTGTCAGCTGTGTGTTTTCTGTATTGCTTTTCCAGCACTGCTTCATGATGCCCCAGTCCCTGGGAGTGATCGGAGGGAAACCAAACAGTGCTCACTACTTCATTGGCTATGTAGGTGAGTGCCCAGAGTATTGCAAAGACTTTCCAAGCATCTCCCCCTCCAGCTAAAAAATGCTTGTGGAATGGTGCAGCTCTCCTCCTTGGTCTGTGGTGCATGCTGCAGGGTTTTTCTTGCCTGCTGGAAGTGTGGAAGGTTGCTGTGGACTGAACCTCTTTGTGAGGACCAGAGTGATTTAGCTTTGACCAGTGGCCATAGTACCAGCCACAAACTTCCACTGCGTAATGCTGAATCCTGTCTGTAAAGTGGTGTGCATAGGGACCTCTTAATACATTCAGAGGTGACGTCCCTTTAGGGTCTTGATTGGATTTAACTGTCCTTCAGTTGTGCCCTTCCTGAAACTCTACAAACTGTTGTCCTTTTATGCTCCTCCTTCCCTCTGATTTTTCTCTCTTTACCTGACACCTCAATCTAGTTGTGTTTTGGATTTCTGGGGCTGACTGGAACTTACACAGGACCCTGGAAAGCATATGCAGTATCCAAATAGTGCCTGTGCCTTCAGCCCAGGGTGTTGCTGTGGAGTGGGCACCATGGTTCTGCTGGCAGCTGGCTCTTTGCCTGGATGAGAAGCATTTGGGAAAGTGACTAAAAGCACATTGCCCCTATAGAACGTGGGTTCCTGTGTGGGGTTTAGAGAGCTGACTCTGTCATCACTCTTCTTCCTCTTTGTATCTCACTGTTTGCTTCTCAGAAGACCAGCTTCTGGCATGATTCTTCCTGTTCATGTCTCCTTGCCTGTCTGTCCAGGTGAGGAACTCATTTACCTGGATCCCCACACTACGCAGCCTGCAGTGGAGCCCAACGACAGCGGCTGTCTCCCCGACGAAAGCTTCCACTGCCAGCACCCTCCCTGCAGAATGAGCATTGCTGAGCTCGACCCCTCCATTGCGGTGGTGTGTTCCTGCTGCTTGTTGCCAATCACCTGAAGGAGCAGTGTTGGGGTCCCTCTGCTTCACAGCTGTCCCTTTCTCCAGGGAACTGGCAAAGGCAGCAGTGATGGGTTGGGTGCTCTACAGGCACGCTGTGCTCTGGGCATGTGCTGATGTGGGTTTTGGTAATGTTGGTAAAGCAGCTCCTCATGCAGGAAGCGGTTTGGTCCAGGGAAGTCCCTCTTGTGTGGCAATTAATGCCATTCCTCATGGGGCAGTATACTCTCAGGTTTAGTTTAGGCTTTGATTCCTGCCTTTTGATGGGCAGAATCCATTCACAGAAACACAGAATGGTTTGGGTTGGAAGGGACCTCTGAAGATCATCTAGTCCAGCCCCCCTGTTAGAGCAGGATCATGGAGAGTAAATGACACAGGAACATGTCCAGGTGGGTTTTGAACGTCTCCAGAGACAGAGATTCCACAACTCTGGGCAGCCTGTCCCAGTGCTCTGGCACCCTCACAGTAAAGGAGTGTTTAGGTTGAACCTCCTGTGATCCATCTTGTGCCTGTTGCCCCTTGTCCTGTCACTGGACACCACTGAGAAGAGCCTGGCCCCATCCTCCTAACACCTGCCCTTTAGATAGTGATAAGCGTTAATGAGATCAATCATAGAATCACAGACTGTTTTGGGTTACAGGGACCTTAAAGCTCATCCAGTTCCAACCC